TTAGGCTAAAAAATATAAAAATTGTGATTACACTTTTTAAAAAAGAATAAAAAATATTCAAAAGATATAATAGATATTTTGTATACTTATTTTCAGTTCTTAAATATAAAACTGCTGAGAGTTAACGACAAGATTTAAAATTTAAGAAATTTAATAATATTTGTGCAACAAAATTTTCCACAGCCTTATTTTTCTCATATTCCATTTAACTTTTATCACAAAAGTCAAGCAAATGCTTTTAAATTTGTTTTTCGATTTCAAGTAAAAAATTTTTGCCAAAATTTGACATCATTTTTGTCTTCAAAATTTCAGTATAAATGCTGTTAGTTGCGTATAACAACTGGTCTATTGCAAATCTTTGATGCAATATATTTTGCTTAATTAATTTTAATATTCAATAAAACTGTAATTGTTTTCAAAAAAAATAAAAAAATTGTTCAAGTTTCATATTTTCTAACAATTTTTCTGTCTTTTTGAATCAAGATGGCAAAAAATAATAATTGGAATACTGATTTAAAAAGAATATTACTATTATTATTATTGTTATTATTATTATTCCTTTTGTTACTAATATTGACATTAATATTAATATAATGCTTAAATACAAAAAATTGAGAAGTATTTCAGTGTATTCTGAACTTAATTTTCTGTTTACTGAAGAAAAAAATTGATAAGAATGCAACCTGTATTTATGGAAGCAGAAGACATTTTGCATAAGCTTAAATGATGTCATTTTCGTCGTAAAAATTATTAAATGTTCGTTTTTCGATTTTTTGCATTTTAATTCGAATATAAGTAATTGAATATATATAATTGGAACAGGAAATTAAACTGAATTTAACAACTTTTTTGCAATTTTATTACTGCTCTTTGCATGCTTATTCAATTACTTATCATTATTGTTTGCTTATCTTTTTTAATAGCTAAATTTTGATTATTTATTTTTCAAAGGACTTTACTTGTTCTCTACTTCTAAGTTCTCTCCTATATGTTTGTTCAAGTATTAGTTAAGTAATCTACTACTTAATCATTATCTACTACTTGTGCTATCAATTAGTTAATGAATGGTCTTCCAATACTACTGAAAAAAAAAACTAGTTATATGCTTAAATACTGAAAAATCACAAAATAGCAGTACTAATACTATAATTTACACAAGTTCATTAAACGCAATTAGTATTAAATAGTTTTTTTTTTTTGAAAAATCGAATGCATGAAATTTTTAGTATTATAAGTAAATAAGTAATTTTAGTATATAAGTAGTATTATAAGTAGTTTTTATATTATTTATTTATTCATGGTATTTTATAGTATTTATTTACTGCTTAGTCGAGAATCTGTTATATGCAAAATTAAAATTCGTATTACAAGCTTAAACTAGTTAATTGAAACTGTGCTACATAATATATTCATAAATAAATGGTAATAATAATGACAATAATAATAATAATAATAATAATAACAATAATAATGCATAATATATTTATAAATAAATAGTAAGTTAGTTTTCAAGGTTATTTAAAATTGATATATGTATGTGCTAATGTTCATCTTTATGCTCAAAATGGTTATTCTGTTCCAGAAATTAAGAAGTATTTATTTTTTGAATATTTTAAAATTGTTGCCAAAATTTTGAAAAGTTTTGCTAGGGTTATTGAGTTATATTTACTCTAATCATTTCACATGTCTGTTTGTTCCGCGTTTATTTTACTTGTGAATCATTTTTGCATGCTTATCATTAAAAAACATCTCATATGTTATTGTCGTTTATTTACAATTTGCGAAGTTTTATTTTCTAAAATTCATACACCAAAAATCCAAATTCAAATTTATTCAAATTTTTTTTTTCGTTTTTTGATATTTCAAAAAAAAAAGGAAAATTTCGAAATAATATAGTTAAGTCTTACAATTAATTTATTTTTATATTTTCAAACTTTTTTTAATAACTTGTATTTACTTATTATATTAATTCTCGAGTATTTGTGATCAGAAGTGATTGGTGATAATCAATTCATTTATTGATCAGACAGATTAATGACGATGTCATAAATTTATTCGTACAGTTTCATTTTTTTGTATTCGCAAATTTTGTATCCTATTTTTTCGCTGAATTTATCAGCAATTTTTTGTATTTTTATGTCTGCACCCTCTTCACTTCACATTTATGTCTACTTTTCGAACAAAAAAGTTGTTGTATATAATGTAGTAAAATTGCTCACTTTATCAAAAGTTTACGACTTTCGCCGTACTTGCCTGTGAACTTGAACTTTTAAAAGTTCGCTTTAACTAGATACTTCAACTAATCGCTGCGTACTAAATACTATAAGGAGAAATTCACGTTAATAGATAAATTCACCTACAAAACTTAGTTACGCATACACTAAGTAGTAAAAGATAATTTAGTTGTCCGTATACCAAATGCTTTATTTGAATAGCTGTAAACTAACGTGAACTACTGAAGTGCTTTCCAAATGTGTATATGATAGTATTCTGTGTTATGATATTTTTATCAAATAGAATGCACATATATATGATTCTGAGTATTCGATATGCATGTGAATTTGAAGGCATACCATTGATTCCGCGTGAACTTAATTACTGTGCTCTCTCGTAAAATTTATCAATTACAAAAAATATCTCATTATTACTATTATATTAGAAATACTAGGCTTGGTAAACTTCTTATTGACTTCCATATACCTAGATCTTTTTGGCGTGATTCATGCGCTCTTGCATGATTGACATATTTTTTTTACGTTTTTCACGCTCACATTTTTATTGGTACAACAATGAATTTATAAAATACATGAGACAATATTTGAGCATATCATTTCTTTACTCAGCCAATTGTATTCATAATCTGTTCTATTTGAAAAATTTGAACCATATGCTTTTTTTACAAATAAAAAGATTGTTTAGAAATACCTTCAATATTAGCCATTAATAAAAATTTCAGAACAGAATTTTATGACGAAAATATACATGTTCTTCATACTTTAAAAAAAATTATGCCGTTAAAAGTAACTATGGGGTAGTGAAACATCAGTACGTGGTAATGAAACTCGTACAAATTGCAATTGGTTTTAATTTCATTTAAATTTAAATTTCGTTAAATTTAAATTTAAATATATTCTTGTAATCTATTATAAATAATTTGAAATAATTAGTAGCTGTTTGCAGTCATTCTCACGGCAGATGGTATTGAATAATATTACTACATTTGTCAGAAAATTTTTCGCATAGATTTTGAAGATTCAGACGTAAAAAAATGGTGGAAAAAACTGTCAGGAAAACAAAATTAATTATTCACATTCATAAATAATGCATTTTTTCTTCATTAGTGATAAAATGCTTTTCTTATCAGCAAATTTTTCTCATGACATTGCAATCACAACTACTTGTTGATAAATGAAATATAAAAAATTCCTTCAATAAATAATTGTAGCATATTACCGCAAAATTCTTTTTCGTATATTTTTTTAAATAAATTTTTAAAGTTTTTCAGTAATTTAAGTATAGTAGCCGAATTCTGTCACTTTATTTGTGAATTTTGTAACTTTATTTTGTCACAAAAATTTTACGCATATATATATTTGTTAATTTATGCTTATCAGATATTGTTCAACGTGTCTGACTTACTTTGAAAATTAGTTGCATAAAAAATGAGTTAATGAGTTTCATTTTAAAATGAGTTAATGAGTTTTTTCGAAAAATTTTTAAAACTTCATGAGAAAATTAGCATATTGGATGTAGAGACAAGCATTAAGACGACAAAAAAACGACAAAATTTTTAAAATAGTAAAAAAAATAAATTTTCAAAGAGCAGAAGTCGGATCTTTTTGTTATAAATATTTTTTAAGCAAAATTTGTAAATTTTTAAAGTCAAAAAAGCAAGAAAGGAAGAAAAATTTGTGAATGAAAGTGCAGTAAATGATAATTTTGTTTTTTTTCAAATTTTACTTTTTTTTCAAATTTTTCTTTTTTTTCCATTTTTTTTTTCATTCATTGCTTTTTTTTGATTGAATGAACTTTTCATCTTTTTGTAAAATTTTTAAAGAAACAAAATTTTAATTTTGGTTTGTCTGAATTTTGAAGGCTAATTTCAAGGTTAATAATTTTTTTCGATCAAATCATTTGCGAAAATTTGCATATTATTATTTTAGTTTATTGGCATTAGATTTAAATGAAATTAATTTTCAAACTTTTTTACTTCTCAATTTTTTGCCTTTTTTGGCTAAAATCTGTTACAAATTCTTCTCTTACTGCTTATTTCATGTTTTCCTTTAATTTTAGCTCATTAAAATTTTTTACTCACAACCATTTCTATTTTTGATTCAGTAATTTTTTGCACAGCTTTTTTCACCTAATTTATTATTCACCTAATGGCCTTTCTTTGATTCTTTTATGATGATTTCTAAACAGAATTATAATTTTAAATGACTATGAAAATGACTTTTTTATTTTTGGTAAAATTGTTCAATAGTTATGCAATTTTGTCTAAAAATTTGCTACTTACAAATAGTAAATCAACTTTTAATCTTATTTATTATGTAGAAAAATTATAATTAATCAACTAATTGGTTAATTTTTTAATAAAACTGTTATGAAAGTAAGTTGTTTATTGAAAAAAAGATTGAGAAAAACCAAATTTATTTTAAAAATATACTCCGGAAGTTTGATACTAAAAAGTAGATCATACAGCAAGGTTGATTATTGATTGATATGAGATTAACTTTTATTAATATCATAAAGCTTTATTGTCGATAAAATTTACTTTTATATTCACTATTATGTTAAGTTTCTTGATTGTTGTTTTGTTTATTTATTACGTAGCTATCCATAAGTTAGCTATAATAGTAGTGAAATTTCTCATAATTATACTAATTAATATTTTTGTGGAATAAATTGCGACTTTTGCTTAATTTTAGGAATACAAAAAGTAAAACATTTCACGTTGATAGCTTAACGATCATTTTACTTCCAATGTTTTATCATCTGAAATGCTTGTGGACGCAGCTTGGTATTTAAGAAGGCTACCGCCTCAAGCGTTGACCACATTTTTACTTACTTCTTATGTACTATTGACAATGCCATCTTGTTACTGCTTTACAATAATACAGCAGCAGTTTACTGTCTACAGTAATCCACATCCTGCGAACCATTTCAAAAATTCAGCGGACAAACAGCAAGCTTTAAATGACCTTTTAATGGAAAATGATTATCAGAATTCAAATGCAACAACTGAAGAAATTGCTGATTTTGTCAATGATACAGATTCTATAATAGCTAACACACCATTAAATCAAACTGTAAGTTAGTTCAAATTGCCCTGACTTTTCAAAATTTTAATTAAGAAGTTAGTATTAGATTTTTGGATAATAATTACATTTAAAATTTTTTATTGCTAATTTATAAAATTTAATTAAGATTTTTTCCTTGCAAATTTTAATTGGCAAATCATTACACCTTTCCTGATTCTAAAAGCCTTAAATAATAAATACTCATTAGTACTGAGATTTGGGATTTGATCAAGCGTAACTTTTCTAAGCTTGCATGAAATGTGAGCTGTGAAATTCTTTTTAGAAAGTTAACTTTAAAATATGAAGGATAAAATTTTTTGCACTTCAAATTATTATTTTTCGAATATTAATCAAAAAGGATTCAGAATGATACAACTGAAATTCACACAAGTATTATTCTTAATTGAATTTTCTTAATATCGTTATCTATCGAATGTTTCTGAAATTTGAATTTGAAAATTTTTTACCTATTCATAAATTGAATGAGGGATCTAATTAATAATTTATTGAAGAAGCGTATCGTTTTTTTAAGTAATTAAAATACTGCAGCCAAAAAAAATTTTAATTTAGATATAAAAAATAAAAATCAAGTAACAAAAAATACAGCAAATTATAAATTATATTCAAAAATTCGAAACGAATGAAAAATATTTTTAAATTTAAAACTTATCCATTAATTAGCAATTAATTTGATTAATTTCAGTATCACCAAAATAATATTCAATCATCAACAATACACTATGAATTAATGCATAAATTAATTCATCAAAATAATCGAGTAGAAGTTTATGCAAATAATCCTCAAGGAAATGTTCGAAATGTTCCCGAACAACGATTCCGCGATATCCTTGAACGAATTATTCAAAAGCATTTAGAATTAGCACAGAAAAAAATTACTTATCCTTATGCAATTGATACTAACTACAAAAAAAGCAATTCTACTCAAGACAATACTGGTACATTCTTTTTTTATTATTTGAATTTTTTATTTTCAAAATTTTTTCATATTTTCAATTACTTTAAAATACTTTTATATTGCATATATGATTAATAAGCTAATGAATATGATTTCTAACAAATGTATGTTATCTAAGTGCATCGAATTGATAGAAAATAATACCAGTACATTCTTATTTTACAAATTTAAATAATATACTAGGTTCTTTAATTATAAGCACGAGTATTTATTCCATGCAAAAAAATTAGATTTCTGATTTTTTCAAATTTTTGCATAAAGTTTTTAGGAATACATTTTAGATTAATTTCAAGTATTTTGATTTTTGACTAGAAATTAATGAAAACTTTAGAACAAGAAATAGGATTTTGAATGATTTCTGATATGCGCTATTTTCAATTACCATTTCATGATAAACTAAATACTATACTCATATCAGTTTTTGTTTTACTAAAATTAATATTTATAAATTTTAATACAAAAAAGGAATAATTTATTTTTGCCAAAGTGTTTCGTATTATTTTAATTTGAAAATACTTGTATAGGTTCTTTAATCTCTCAATTCTTCGTGTTTGGTACCTTATTTGGTGTTGTCTGTTCCATATCAGCTTGTACTTGCTGCATGCAGCTAAAATCTGTGAATCGAACACGTAACAACCAGCTCAGTGGTATATCTAAATTTTTATCATTAAATTTTTTGATTTCATCAACTCAAGCTTTTTCTCGATATTTAATTACTGAAATAAGATTTTAAGTATAAAATTTCAATGCAATATGAATTCAATTACGTGAAGAAAACATAATTAATATTTTCTTCACGTAAATGAAAATTTTTATCCCTATTCTAGTAAAATCTAAATGTCCCTGTAAATATAGTAGGTAGGGTTATTTTTGCTGCAGGTAAATCAAATGTTGACGTGAGTTTGATCTACAATTGCAATCATAAAAATATTAATAATCCAAGTCATTAATTCTTTTTGTAATGCAAATAATTAATTAAAACTTTTCTTAGTAAACAGAAAGATATTATTCTATATTTGTATCGTATTGCAATATTTTTGTTAAGAGTTAGACGACAAATAATTTCATATTCTAAAAGTGCTTTTTTAAACATTAATTACGCCCTATATTAGTAAATCCGATTTTTAATAGTGTTATTTGGCTAGAATAAAGAGTCTAAATGAAATAATAATTTGAACCTTGACCTTTGAAATATTTTAGATGTTAATCCAGCTAATGTTCCTGCTCCAATTGATTATAGTAAGCCATATATGATCAAGTGCGATTCACGGGGTACATGCTATGCTAGTCCATTAAACGATGATGAAGTTCCACCGCTGCCTAGTTATAAAAAAGCTTTAACTTGTCCTCTTCATCCATCACCAATTACACGTACAAATTAAATACAGTCTCAGTTTTACCTTTGAACTTGAAAAAAGCAAATTTAATACGATCGCTTCAAATGTCTATTTATTAACGACACATATTTTCTCCGTCTGCAATTTGTTCTCGCACTTACATATCAAATATGTTTGTTCTGAACAATGATTCAGTTTTCAGATTCTAATTTAAATGACATTATTAATTAGTGATTTTAAACAAAAATAACAAACTGTGATATATTTTTAATATTATAATGCAATCATTAATTTCTGTTTTCACTACTGAAATTCCCTTCTCGAAATTGAATACTTGTAAAAATTTTTGGCATTATAATGAAAATTTATGAAATGCACAAAATGATTAAATTTTCGTCATCAGTATTCGTTTATGGACATAATCATAATTTTTTACGCAATAATTGTAATTGTTTGCTGTGTTTTATTTGGCCCATTGTAGTTGTATATTTTATTTTTTCTACAAAAACTTGCGTATTGTATTTTTCAACTTATGTTTGTTTATTATTTGTAATATAAAAAATATCATCTATTATTTTTTGTATTTGTTTTCAACAACAAAAATAACTATTTAAACAATAAAACGGGTAATTATATTATACTTAAATTTTTCATCACTACAGAAGTATAAAGGTGAAATGATTTTGATTACCTATAAATGCATAATAATGAAAGTAACTTTTGCAAAGTATTCCAATTATATGCTATAAAGAAATTTATGTATTTTTTAAAATTTAAACATATCAATTTCCGCACATAGTAGTATAAATTCATTACATATTACTCAAAGCATCGTCAATACGACTTCAGATTTTAAATATATGAATATTGAAAATTTTAATAAATATACTTGAAAACTTAAGACTTATGAAAAATACTTAAACTTTAATAATTTTTCTAAAGAATCGCTTGATTTTGTGCAGTTTGCATCTGTCAGTTTTCTTTCTCAAACTATAAAATAAGCTCATATTTAATTTTATTTTTATTTCATTAAAATTCTTCTTTAGCATTTCAGAAAAATTTTTAAAAATTATATTTCTTAAGGGATTATAGCACTCATTCCAAAGTATATGCCATAAAGTATAAAGATTCAAAAAGTTGATCGAAAATTATGATTTTTATTCAAAAATTTCTCATGTTTTTTATATTTTTTGCAATGCATAAAATTAGTACTTTTTTGCACCATTTTTTAATTTATATTCTGCTCGCATAACAACCGGACGTTTAAAACAGTCTGACTTTACAGATTCAGTCCTTCGAGTTCGTGTCCTTAATTCATTAATTCATCAAATTTCAAATATAAAATTATTGAAAATTTTAATTTGATTTGAAATTTGCAATGGAGAAAGTTAATCTTGTAAAGTGAAATAGACAGTAAGACCTTCTAGATTAAAATTTAAAATAATTTTGTAAAATTTTGTTTGCTGTAAAGTTTTACTTTAACG